CATTACCAATTTTTTCACCTAAAAAATTCTTTAAGTTTAAAAAAAGAAAGAAGAAAAAACGTAAATTTGAAACAAACGTGTCATAGGAAAGGTGCATTATTGTCCTTTGACTGGAACCATGTACGCCAACTTAACTGCCGTTTGAGACTTGCTCGCGTGGCTTAACTGCCGTTTAGGATACAGTCGTTTGGCTGCTTGGATGGCAAAATATTGCCATGTCATGCGTATATGGCAAGGGATTTGACATTTGGGTTAAATTTTTAACTTATTTGATCATTCAATTTTTTTTATTTAAATAAAATCTAAATAAAATAAAGCCGTATATTGGGTAAAAATATTATTTAAATAAAATCTTAAATTTAAATTTAATAAATAAAGTTGTAGACATTTAAAAAAATTATGTGATTTATTATGATTTGATTTTAAATTAGTTGATATTAATATAACTTTTAAATTTTGAAAGTTTAATAAAAAAATAATATCACTTAAAATAATAAATTTATAATTATATGATATATGACATTAAATAAATATAACAAAAAAATTTATATCAATTTTAATTTAAAATTATGCATTGAAATTTTAGTTTCTAAATATAAGTTGAAATTTTAAATTTTTTTAAAAAAGTAAAGACTGATACATACTAATCTTATATAATAAATATTAAATAAATATATATAGTATTATAAATAAATTTTTAAATAAAAATAAATTAACTAACAATGCACTAAATTATAATATCACATAATACTATAAGGAAAAAATGCATATTAATTATGACTCCCAAAAATAATTGAAATCTTAACTTTAAATTATCTCATTTTATTTAATTAAAACTAAATTCAAAATTTAAAAATTATCTTATTAAATATTCATATTTAAATTTAAAAACCAATTATATTAAAATATGTAATAGGTTTATAAATTTAGATATTAATATTTAATAGTATAAAATTTTAGTCCTAACTCTCAAAAATAATTAGGGTATCAACTTATATTTAAAAATTAAAACTTCATACTATTAAATATTAATATCTAAATTTA